TTTTTTTTTATCATTTATCATAAAGAAATGAAAAATAAATAAACAAAAAAGAATAAGTAGAAGGAGGAAATTTAGAAATTGAAAAAATTATAGTATATATATTTTTTTACTACTACTGCCATATATATATATATATATTTTTTTTTTTTACATCTTAAAAATTTCAAGTAAGAAAAGTGGGTGAGACTTATGTTTTCTTTAGTTAACTTTGTGGTTTCTTTCTCATATTTAATTATGAAATCATCAATAATTAATCTCATTAATCATTTTCAATGTATTGGAAACATAATTGAAGAATATATTTAATATTTAAGTTAAAGGACAAATATGTCAAAAAAATAAACTAGTTTATAGTGTAAACATGTCCTTTTACCATTCTGGCCAAAAGGATTTTTCCTAAGTAAAAATGCTCATTATATGAGTATTAAGATTAGTATTTCAAAAGATTTATTATTTGTCATCAAAGTACCAAAAAAGAGAAATAGATGTGGTTATATCACCAATCTCAATATGAGAAAGTTGGCAAGTGAAATGAAAATATCCAATGGGTCCCACGATAATCATAATGACATGAAGTTGTCTGTGTAAGAGCAAAATGTTAAATTGGCCAAAGGACCAAATACTACAGTAAATCAGTTTTTGGGCCAATAGTATGACATCACTTGTATAATAAGAGAACTCTCTCTTAATGAATTTCGACTTCTCATTCTACTTGTCTGCGTTAAAGGCGCAGTCGTAATTGATTAAAAAAAAAAAAAAAAAGAATGATCTGATAGATTCTTATACTGGTATTGAATTGTAAAATGGACCCTTTTATTTATGATTTTGTCAAATGAACCCTTAAATTCAATGAAACACAATATTTTAAATATCTCTGACCATTGACCAAACTTATGTGGCAGTAAAATTGCTTAGTTGGAAAATGTGTGAGGCACACGCGAGTTAAGTGTGTGAAATTAATGTTTTTCATTAAAATACACATATAATAATAAAAAAAATATTTAAAAATAGGAAAAACAAAAAATATCCCCTTTCTTTTTCTCTTTTTCTGTAGAGAAAAAATTAGGTCATATTTTCCACCATTAATTCTTTTTGTAATTTCACTTCATTTTTAAAAGAAATTACTCATTCTTCAAATATTCCACAACAAACATACAAATTGGAAAGAAGAAGAACTTTTTTATTTCAATGATTCTTTGGGCTGATTCATTTGTCTTCAAATTTAAAATGGGTTACATAATTTGAGCTTTTAATTTGAAGGTTTAAATTGAAATCTTCTCTGTAAATTAAAAGCTCAAATAACAAGATTATACGAGTTGAATTGAGGAATTTGATAACTCAACTCCAGATCAAGACGACTGAGTCAAATAACTCATTGTTGGACTCGTCGCCCGGGTTGTTACACGAAGATAACAAGAATGTATTGATTGTAGTAGCTCAAGGAATCATTCTGATGCTGGTCCATTTACTCGATTTCAGCTTTTAAATCTCCATGATTGCTTCAAGCCAGCTTTTTTGATCTCTGGAGATTTATGTATTCTCAACAATTTTCTAAGGATTCTTGAATTTCAAAGTGTTCTGGGAAAACAAAATTCATGTATAGCTTTGCAAACATTGGGTAAAGAAGAGAAATTTCATATTTTTTTGAAACTTGCCAAATGAGAACACCCAATTTTCAAGCTATAGCTATGGCAGCAGGTGTATTTTTTGTGCTTAAGGCAGGTGAAAAAAGATGGGAGTGAGAGGTGGGTTTGGATTTTGGGGGCGGCTAGGGTTTATTGAAAGAGATGGGAAAGGAGATGCAACTTAATAGAGAGGAAAAATTAGCTTTTTAAAAAAATATTATTTATTTTTTAATATTTAATTTTTGACTTGTCATTAAAAAATGATGTGGATTTCACGTGTATTTGGTTGTATCACACGCACCCTCTTCAAATGAAAAAAGAGTTAAAAATATTGTGTTTTATTAAGTTTAAGTGTTTAGTTGACAAAGTCATAAGTAAAAGGGTTCACTTTACAATCTGATACAAGTATAAGAGTCTATCGGATCATTTTGCAAAAAAAAAAGAGTAACTTTTAAATAGAAAAAAGAAAGAAAAAAAAGAGTCCTGGATTTTAAATTTTGTCCATCAGTCTTAAAAAAGCTATAAAGGGCGGCGATTGAACTGGTTGAAAGTTGAATACGCAAAATCAAAGTATTGTTGATGATTAATGGCTGATTCTAGATTAGCAATCCTTAGTCGACACTTCACTTCAGCAGCAGAAGCAGCAGATTGTAAGGTACCACCGCTGAACTCTGTTACTATGCTGGTTTGAGATTCTGTAATAAATACTATTGTAATTACAAAATCTGTGTAAAAAAGAATGTGAGTTTATGCTGAATTATTGATACGTTCATCCTTTATACTTTATAGGCTGGCTCTTGCTCTTTTGGTCAAAATTTGGGGTGGATTAAGATATCCCCGGAGGTTTCAGAAGCATTAAAACATGGAACCCCCATTGTTGCATTGGAATCCACTATAATATCTCATGGTACCACTACTGTCTTCAATTCTTCAATTCTTCTTCTCTATCTCTAAATCATCTACTAGTCTGCTGGTAAGGTAACACTACAACTTGCATAAATTCTTATTTTCAACTCGAAAACACTAGTTTCAAACTCTGACAAGAGGGGCTAACTGCCTTGACGACCCAATGTCTTCATTCACTTTTCTTAATATTTACCAATTTTAATGGTTTGAAAGCTGTGGGTCTGCTGAACAGGCTGTTTATGCACTAGGTCTTCCCCTGATTTCCGTTCTTCCTTTCCATACCCCGCCCTCCCAAATTAAATAAGATGAAGACTTCTGCTTTACATTTATACAGCGGAAATAACATGTTACTTGAATGATCAATGTGTTACCTCATCAATCATCCACACTTATTATGCATCAAACCTACTCATAGAGACTTTGACACAACTCGTTTAAGTTGTTCGCGTTACTTTAACCTTACATGTATTAAGTTAGTTAGCCTTAAGGAGCTGAAATTACTTTCTCATTTTTGTTCTACTGATACTAGTTTTAACTATGCTTTTTTTTTTGCTGTTCCTAGGAATGCCGTATCCTCAGAATTTCGAGACAGCAAAGGAGTTGGAGGTCATTGTGAGGGAGAATGGAGCTGTACCTGCCACTATCGCTATTCTGGATGGCGTACCATGCATAGGTGTTTATTTGAGACTTCATTTTTTTTTTGCTGCATCCCATTCTTTTCTTATTTCTTTGTTGGGGGTACTTTGACACGAAAGTGGGGTTGATTTCTTGAGTTCATCACATACCTCTCCTGAACTTATAGTGTCCAAAGACTTCATGACACTCTACTTGTGCTCTATTATGAGTAATCTGCAATAAACATCAACTTCTTTGTTCTTGGCTTCTTAATATGCATCTTAACTATCAATAGATACCAAGTTGTCTACATGTTATCTGCTTATATATTTACCCCATACTCATGCTAACTTTCGACTTTTGGCAGCTCAATTAAGTTGATGAGTGCTTTAACTCTTTCATACTATATCTTTCTCTTATGAAAGAAGTGGAATTTTTTTAACTAAGTACTAGCGTTTCCTCGAAATATACACTGCTGCAGTAAAGTACATTGACTTCTATGCTCAATCATATTCCTGCACTGGCATATGGCTGATGCGTATTCCATGAGTATCTGACAGTTGTCTGAAAGTTTTGATCTTTCCAATTCACTTGGACAGTTTATGTGAGTGATCGATGTGAAGATGAGAAATGGAGTGAGAGTTTTTTGAAATGGAATGTGAAGATGAGAAATTTGGTGTGGAAAGTATCCTTTTTGAGAGCATCTATAATAGCTTCTCTGCTGTGAGCCATTTCCATCTTGTACTTAATTAATTCCAGAACATCATGTTCTACAGCACTTTGAATCTTTGATAAATTATTTGTTAAACTTACACTTTGTGAGGAATTCTGAAAAATGAGAACACGAGTCCAGAATATTGCAATCATTACTACAGAAGTCTGTGAACCTCTGAAATGATAAAACTTAAAATACTTACATGACCTTAGGTTATTTCTGAGTTGTCATACTATGTTAACTTTCTTTTAACTAGGGAATCATAGTAGCATGTAAAATGTTTTAACCATGAATTATATCCTATGGTAGGCTTGACTACAGAAGAACTAGAGATTCTAGCACGTCTTGGTAGCAAAGCTCGGAAAACTGCTAGTAGAGACATTGCACTTGTTGTAAGTCAATTGCAAATTGCGCTACTTAATCTGAGCAACTATATCTTGTTTGCCTTCATCATATTTGTTAAAAGATATTTGTTTTGACTGCTGAAACTTAAATTTCACTAGCTCGAGGAATATCTATATATATATATAAATATATGTATATGTACAGGTGTATATCTTGAGATGTGACATGAAAAAGCTTCATGGGCCTGGAGAAAATAGCATGTCACAGATAGCTTGTTTTGTAATGTATGCTGGCAGAATTATGTGTGTCTTGATGATGACTACATAAGTTCATAAAGATACTTCACCACAGCTTGCACTATCTTATATTTATTTGTTTTACACTCCCTTGTTACAGTTCCAAATATTTCTATGAAGATAGTTTCTATTTTGTAGCAAGATGTGCTTATTTATCGATTATTCCTCCCTTTACCACATTTTTAAGTATCTTGAGGAAGCGTGACTTTTAAATTTAAAAATAAGGTTTACTTTTAAAACCTTTTTAGTTCTTTGTTCTTTTCCAAAAACATACCAAAGATGATGAAAAAGCTCTTTGCTCAAACAGCTTGAGATGTCGCACTTGTTAAATAGTGCGAATCATGTATTATCAGCCTTCACATTGAAAGAGAACTGATCATTCGGTTATGTGGTTTTGTCTTGAAGGCATCAAATCCAAAAGCCTGGCTTTTGTTCGCCATCCACAAGAATTTCCTTCTCTTCTTAGACATGCTCTCCCAACCATGCTAACCTCCACTTACGACAAGATTGCTTCAATTCTTATGAAGTACTTTTCTTCAAGATTTCATTAATAAAGCCTTTTCCTTCAAACTTGCAAGCCTTTCAATATAAGTCCACCCACATACAAGCCTAACCCTCTACCAAAAATTTCTGTTGTCATATAAGCCTACAAGGAATTTATCAGTAGCTAATCACAACAATGAACATAATTATCATCACAATTTATGAACAACCTTAATGAATCTCATTAACTTCCATCGTTGATGGGGTTTATAATTGTGAGAAATATATGAGAAGAATATTATTGAATTGTTGCTGCTTACATTATTACATTGAGACCCTATTTATAACCCTAGAATACAATCCTTTACCAAGTAGGATACTATTTAGTATTCCTATTCCTATTCTAATAGGATTGTATAAACCTATTCCTATTCTAACACTCCCCCTCAAGCTAGTGCATACAATTCATGTACCTAGCTTGTTACAAATGTAATTAACACGAGGACCGATGAGGGGTTTGGTGAGATATCTGCAAGTTGATCACTCGACTTCACAAATTTGACAATCAATCTCAATGGGCTTGGTCTTCTCATGAAATACTGAATTTGATGCATAATGCCGATAAAA